ACCATTCAGCCACAGAAAAGCGGTTAGTTAGCAAAGGCCGAATTACTGTTTACAAACATACACCTTCGACGATTTTTCTCGATTGATAATTTTTGCTCACAAAACATATTTTAATGTAAACAATAACAACATATTATGAAATGGATTAAGATTATTTAATACATTTTGTGTTTATATGTTGTTTTTATAGATAACTATAATTATCATTTTTCAAACGACGGCCTCTGACTTCTGACAGTACAAGTCTTATATATTTACTTTTCTGCTACAAATGCAAAAAATGAAATACAGTTGAAAAAAAAAAACTGGAACGGAATTTCGTCTTTGGTTCCATAAAAAATCACCGAAGAAAACAATAACAATATCCCTCTCGCTGTACACTTCAACCAACCGTTTCATAACATTGATGGCATCAGATGCGTGCTTTTTAGCATCTTTATTCAACTGCCGACAAGAAAGACGCAGATCGGAGTTAAAATGTATTTTTAAAATAAAATCACACATTGCGGGATTAAACGGGGATTAAGATTTACTTAAAGATTATAATCACCACAGGGAGAATTCTGCCCAATAACAGCAACATTTCCCGGAAGAGTAAATTCCACTTCTTTGTTTATTCCTAGTATTGTTGAAAAAAGACACAGGTGTGGTCGGAAACTCCGACTTTAAAATCTTTTTATTCGTTTTTTAATTTACACAAACGGTTAATATATAATAAACATCATCAATTTTATTGCCAATATTATTATCATGTTTTGGCCTTTTATACTTCAAATATCATTAACCGGCCCATTATACACACACACACACACACACACACACACACACATATATATATATATATATATATATATATATATATATATATATATATATAAAATAAAATTGAACGATGAAGTCAGCACTCGGAGGGTGACAGGCTGTTTCATGCTGGACGCAATCGTCAGGCCGTCCAGCATGAAACAGCCTGTCGGCTCTGTGTGTTGAATTCAATGTTCACTTTTATATTTATATACGCTCTGTCTCTGATATTGAGCACTTTATCCCATAAATATACCACACTTAAAACTATATTTCTTCATATATATATATATATATATATATATATATATACTCAGAAGAAAGAATGGCTGGCCGTTACTCGGATATTCATGTGAACATTTAATACGCAGTCCTTACGTGGCTGACACAGTGTGTACATATCCACCAGGCCGAAATAAAGACATTTTTGACTGAACTCATCATGGTAGCTATCCAATGCTGCCACCTCTTTCAATGGCAGTGTTCTTTGTTTCTGCAGTTATATTTAATCGTGTTTTTTTTTTTGCTGTATGTTATTATTATTGTTGGTGTAATTGTTATTGGTTTCGTTTAGTATTTTTTTTTTTTTGCGCTTAGCTATTATTTTCTCTATGTTATCCATGTAACTGTAACAAATTTTGATTGTATTTTTGTTGATAATTTTTGGCAATTTGCTCTTTTTAGACAAGTGTCAATTATTCTGAAGAATATTTTCCCTGTTTTTGTTTTTAATGCATTGGTATAGGGGGGTGTTTTTGTTGGAATTATTTTCATTTTTGTATTCTATTTTATTTCAATATCCGCTGTTTCATATATTTTTAAAAATTTTGGATATTCTTAGGCTACTAGAATTTATTGAAATTCTTTTATAGGTATTTGTTTAAATACGTTAGTGTAGATGGTTAGAATTTTTGTTAATGTATATTGGGTTGTTGCTTGGTTTTCTGTATTTATGGTTGAATGCTTTATCTAAGAAATTTTATTTTTTTTGATTTGATTTTTTATCTATTGTAAATCCTAGGTTTTTGAAGGTTTTTATTATTTGTTATTTTATTTTTTTCTGTCGTTCTACCATTGCAGTTTCTTAGGATTAATAGATCTGTATAGACATATAACATTTTGGTTAATAATAATTTGTGCCGTATTAGTTCTTATTTTTACTACAATAGCATTTTTTCAATAGCATTTTCGGATACAACAATACATATATTTTCGTTGTCCTCTTATTACTAAGAGAAAAAAACAAGAACAACATCTATTCTATACCTGAAGATGTCTGTAGGAACAGACGAAAGCTTGTAGTAAAATAAGAACTAATACGGCGAAATTTATATAAACAAGGATCATTTCATTCATAACGGATACGGAGGTTTTTGTATATTATTTGAATTGTTTGCGATGATGGATGTCTCGCCATTTAAATCATTAACCGTTGCATTAGTTTTTGTGTGAATAATTCATGTATATATATATATATATATATATATATATTGAATCAGAAATAATAAGAATTGATAATGCTTATCGAAGATCAACTCATAGTTTCCCATACGAATTGTAAACTTATTTTTCTGATGTAATAAATATTACACTAGATTAATAACGAGTAATTTATTGGCTGAAATTTTGCTCGCCGTGATATAAAGTGAATTTTATAATTTTTAGTATTTCAATAGGGGATTTTTCTATTATTTCAATTATGTTGTATACCATCGATTTTATATTATATCAAAGAATTTAATTTCTTTGCTGATTGAATCTTTTATGATAATGTCATTGATGATTAAACTCAACCTCAACGTGAAGGTACATGACTAGAAACTTACAGTTTCCTCAAAATCTACTTCCGTCATCCATTCCCCATCGCCGTTTGGCTTTGCAAAAGTTGGTTCGATGTGAAAGAAAATCAGAGTTGAAGAAAGTATCGATAGCGCGATTTGTTTAAACTTACCAAGACATGGCTCAGACACTTAACTTCATGACCTTCCTCTGCGGCACATATGGAATGAGACATGCAGAATCCAGTTATAAAACAACAACGGATTGCTGTTATAATTGCGAATGGCGACTCCTATAGCATGAACATCACAGCACTCTTCATCCGCTGGGTCAACCGTTTAGATTGTTGTAATTTCACCTTGTTCCACTATATATATATATATATATATATATATATATATATATATATATATATATATATATGTGTGTGTGTGTGTGTATGTGTGATTCGCAGACATTATTGTTTTGTTGGATCACAGCTCCCTGAGTGACACTGAATAACCGAATGCCCTGCCCGCATCGAAACCCAACCGATTTGATGTCAGTCAGAACGAGTCAGCCAAATCTAGCGTATTGTTTTTACAAACGTAAACAAACGCCAAGCAGCCATAGTGCTCTATGCATTTTACTGAAGAACTTCGCATATATATATGACTGTGGGTTACTCCAATAACTATTTTATTTGATGTCCATGTTTAAGTAGACGCTCCAACTTTTAAAGTGTTAGGCACATCTGCCCGCCTGCTCGTTCAAGAGACTTAAGACTCCGGCAGGATTCGAAACTTTGTCTCCCTTTGTAGGGCAATCCAGCTGCTTATCCGGCGTGCTTTAGACACAATATATATATATATATATATATATATATATATATATTAGATGTTATATTAAACCGCACCGTCACAGAAAGTGTCACTTAAAATAAATATACTTTTTAAAAATCAACAAAAACTTTCAAATATTGGTATTCACTAAAATAATTTTGAAGTAATATATATAGTGACGTAAAATTTAGGCACAAATGAACATCGGATTAATAACCATTTTATCGATAGAATTAGTCATATATATGAAAACGAGGTTGATAGAAATATAACAAAAACGGGTGTTTATAGTTAAATAAAGAGGATATAGGTTTGAAGATTCAGTTTCTGGAATGACAAGCGTCACTAATATATATATATATATATATATATATATATATATATATATATATATATATATACAAATGAGAGAATAAAACATATGGAATAAAATTCCACAGGACCCTTTAAGAAGATTGCTGACTATATTTTTTTTTTTAAATTTCCGTTAACTTTACGTCTGATCAAACTATTCAACACCAAAATTCGCTTGAAAATGAAACAGATCTGGGACCTTTAATTTAATTATATAACTTAATTTGAAGTTTTTAGTTTCCTACTTTGAAACATGGAAATTCCTGTGAAGCGATAGAACCATATTTTTAATCAGATTATATATATATATATATATATATATATATATATATATAGATAGATAGATAGATAGATAGATAGATATGTATATAAAATAGATTTATAGAGTTATGACCAGACAGAAATAGCTTGGCTGATAGAAAGATAGATATGAACAGGAGCAGAGATATATAGACTGTGCTGTTGTATATTTAAATAGTCACTTCACTCAAATACATTTCATTCAGCGCAACAGACAAGGACTTTCTAAGAACGGCGATCTTTTGATCGTCTTGAACAAAGCCCTTGATTCAAGTGAAAGAGTGATTTTCCTAGAGGTCAAACGCTTCCGGTAAATAGGATCAGATTTATCGGGTCCTTTTGTATATTTATGCTGCAATTATCGAAAATAGATGATAACCAATTTTAAGTTAACCGAAAGTGCTCGATCTTTCTCAGAAATACTACACGAACTAGTGTAATGGATATCGGCTCGGGGTGTGGGGGATCGGGGAGCTGAGTTCAATTTCCGCATTAATCTGTTGCATTCACTTTCGCACTATTACCCTTGGAAAAGGCATGAATCCGTTTCTTCTGCCTCTAGCTACAGGTTAAATGGCAGGGTAGACTCTTAGAGTAAAACCAATTTAAGAGAAGGAAAACTCTAAATTCAAATGTTAAAGAATGACACCATCCTTCCCAGGAATACTTGGCAATTCACAGAAAATAAAGTAACGGGATCTGTGGAGATTGATGATTGTATATGTCCTGAAGGGACATGGTATTTTTTTTTTTAAAAGGGCAAACGAAACCTTATTTTTGGGAGGTTGACTGAGAATATCAGCCCCCCCCCAAAAAAAAAAAAAAAAAAAAAAAAAAACAAAAAAACAAACAAGCATACACACCCATAGAAACAGAACTACACACGCACAACATCTTGTCTTTTTCTAATGAATCATTAGAAAATTTAGTGACAAGTCATTGACAATGAAAAAGAGAGATGACTCAATCGGCTTTATTCTGCTGAGTCTATTTTGGCTACGTATCGTTTTTCTTTTTCTTTTCGTTTCCTGGATTTTCTTTTCTTTCTTTTCTCTCAACTATATTATCGCTTTCTTTTATTCCCTTTCTCTTCCTTTCCTTTTCTTTTTGCTTCTTTCTTCGAATCTCCTTTGCTTTCACATTCCTCGTCTGGCACTCCTTTTTCCTCTTCCTTTCTGTTTCTTTTTCTCTTCGCTCGTGTTTATTTTTCCTTGTGATCTCATATTTTATCTCTTTCCACGCATCTACTCTAACAACGTTCTCGTTCTTTTTTCTTTTACTTCTTTCTGTCGATCTCTTCATCCCAATCCTCAACGTCGACTCCTCCACCTCCTTATTTTACCTTCGTTTACTCATTCTTTTTTTTTTTTTTTTTTTGCATATTTCTTTCACCTCCTCAGTCACCATTCTTCTTCTTCTTCTTCTTCTTCTTCTTCTTCTTCTTCTTCTCCTCCTCCTCCTCCTCCTCCTCCTACTACTACTACTACTACTACTACTACTACTACTCCTACTCCTCCTACTCCTACTCCTTCTTCTTCTTCTTGTATCCGTCCTCTTTGTTGCAGTTCTCTAATTTACTTTTTTTATATACTATTTATTTATATTTTCTTTCTTTCTTTCTTTCTTAAAATTCATTTGTTTTCATTCAGCCTACCATCTTTTTCAATACATTTCGTTGCTTCTTTCTTTTCTTTTCTTTTTTCATATTCGTTTATATCATACAACCCTCATACTAACACTTAACATACCCTCTCATCTTCTCCTCACATTCCCTGAATTCCCACAATGCCCACCTCTTCCACTTCCTCGAACGGACCGATAGGTTTCCGAGATTACCGGCCACTAATTCCATACCGATCTATCGCTTGCTGCTCTCCCTGCCATTTTCGGACATTAAGCAATACAATTGCCAGCCTTCGTCCTCCTTCTCCGCCCTCATTTCATTGTTCGAGCGTCTATTTGCCTCACTGGCCCGCGCCCCTAATTTCTGGCAGATTAATTGCGGCCATTGTTACGAAGGATCGTATTATTTCATCAGACCTAATTTTAAGGTATTCGCTTTACGAATTCATTTTGCGTACGCACACATACACAGAGATAGGCAATATGACCGACTTAATATCAACGTAGACACGCACCGACATAATATCTCTGTGAACACACACGCACATATCTTTGTAGTCATGTTCATGTACAGACATATGGAAATAATTCGTGCAATCACATACACAACAAACGTCTGTGTCTATCACAAGAAACGAGCAAATGTTAGAAACATGTAAATTTAGTTCTTCATTTATATGCCATATCTTTTCGGGGCGTCGGCGACAAATGGCTCTCCACAATTTCCTGCATTTTCTTGCTTTAAGTAACTTTTGACCATTTACCATCTCTCATTGTTAAGTGGGTTACTACGCTTTTCTTGTCTTCCATACATTTTGTGAGTTTTAAATTTTCTATGTTTTAATAATGTTTACCCAATAAAAAGCCCAAGAGCCACTCAAGGCAGAGGATAACTGTCTGGTGTTGTATTAGCGTAAGAAAAGACAATAGGTGGAGTTATTGGGGCTGTGAAGGAAAGATAACGGCAAACTATAGACTTGAAGAGGTCGACATTTATTTAGTGAATAGCATTTCGGAGTTTCTGCCGGAAATGTTACAAGTATAATATGGAAGTAGATTTCGAAGGAACCGGATCAATCGTAAATACGATACAAAGAGCAGAACTCTACTCTTGTTAAATTACCGGGAAGAAATGTGAATTAAACGATAGGCGAACCTATCAACTACTATTGGGAGAGAAGGAATAAATAAATAAAATTTCAGAATTCAGAGACGTTAGAAGTAAATATTTGAACTAGGAAGGTGTGTTAAGCGATGTTAGGCAAACCTATCTACGCCTATTTGTAGAGGAAAACTGATAATCTTTATCTATAAAAGGTAGGATGTGTGTGTGTGTGTGTATGTGGTGTGTGTGTGTGTGTGTAACGAATGCACGGCCGCAATTTTCGATGGATTTGCACCAACATTTACATGCACATGCTCCAAGTTAGCGGGAAGGCCAAGACAGACTTTGCATTTCCCAACTCTCATCGATAGTGGAAATAATCGATTTTTCATGTTTACGGCAGTTTTCATCTAGTTTGCAGCCTTTTCTACTGGCCAGAGTGAGAGCCTATAGCTGGCTGCCAATAATAGACAGGAAGATTCTATTGGCCAGCGTGAGAGCCAGTAGCCGACTGACACGAATGTTAACTAGCATGCAAATAAAATCTGAGGCTGCATTCGTCACAAGTGGGAAAATTTAAATCTGCATGGCACTTTCATCCAATTGGCTCATTCGCTTTGCTTAAACTCAACGTTGATTTCTGATTCCGCAGAATGGGTTGGGTGAAAAAGTATTTGTTGTTAACATTCTTTTTCATTCGGTTTTTTCCAGTTACGAGTTCTTTTTTAAAGCTGATCGTTTTGGTGTTCATTTTTGTTTAGTTCTTTTCGTAACAGATTCAATGTTTAGTATAGAGCTTAGAAAAAAAGTGAGATAGGCAAGAAGTAAGGCATGTAGCAAAACATCAGCACGGCAAAGGGCACTCCTTTAAAAGGCAAGAAGGGCAAAATATTTTAAGTGAAGTTGATATGATTGCTGTATGAGTCGTACGATTTTGAATCAAGTACCGGGCAACATGAGCCATGCTGCTAGTTAATAAATAAAATTTCAGAGTTCAGACTGAGACGTTAGAAGTATAATATGGAAGTAGACTTTAGAAGCAACTGGAAACCCAATCCTAAACAGAAAACAAGTGATAAAGTTCTACTACGTTTCAAGAAACCATGGAGGCGTGTGAACCGGACGATAGGCGAACCTAAATATTCCTATTGGCAGAGAAAGAATAAATAAAATTGGGAGCGGAGAAATAATGATTAGTGAATTCAAAATTCAGGCGGTGAGGTCAAAGGTATAGAGTTGAAGTAGATTTTAGAAGGAATCAGAATCTCAATCCTAAATAAGAAACAAGGGGGAAAACCTTTACTCCTATTAGAAAAGGAAAGGAATATGAATTGGACGATAGGCTAACCTATCTACTCCTATTGGGGGAGAAGGAATAAATAAATAAAATTTCAGGGTTCAGAGACTTTAGAAGCAAATATTTGAACTAGGAAAGTGTGTTAAGCAGACGATAGGCGAACCTATCTACTCATATTGAGAGAGGGGAAATAATAATTAGTGAATAAGATTTTGGAGTTCAGGCGGAGACGTTAGAAGTATAGAACTGAAGCAAAATTTAGAAGTAACTGGAAAAAACCCCATCGCAAACAGGGAAAATGAATAAATCGTAAATAATTTAAGCTCTGAATATATGCGTTAGGTAGAGTTATTGAATTGAGTGTATGATATTATGTATTAAGTTTTAAGTTAGTATAAGTTAAATATCCGCTATCAAAATAAAATCGAGCAGGCGATTAACCTTATTTAAACTTTTATTTTGCGAAAAGATACCAAATGGATAAGTCATAAAACCAAATAAATCCACATTATGTTTTCCAGAAATTTATGCTGTTTCTTTCTTATTGTAAACATCAGTTTCTGGAAATTTCTTCTTGTTCATCTTTTCTGTCCATTGTATTCTCAAAATTTTTTTATAAAGTCAAATCTCTGTCGCCTCAACTCTCCTTTTCACCTGTGAGGTGTGTATCCAGCATTCACTGGGCTATAGGACATTAGGTATCACATAAATTTTCAGCATTCTTTCTTTGTTTCTTTTTTTTTAAACAACATTTTCCTATCGCTTAACGCATCTTTCTCTATTTAGATATACCTTCGGATTTCTGTGTCACATTTTCTGTCCTCTGTTACTGCATTACCCATCTAGTTAAATGTCTGTACCTGTTTGATTTTGAAATCCTAATAAGTTTGCTCATATCTTATATCTTTCTCCTCTGCTGACCAACGTACGTACTGATACGACACGAAATTAATTTAATTTAGTTATTCGCTGTATCTCTTGCTTTCGGTATGTCCTGTGAGTGTTAAATTCTCCAAGCTCTCTTTCCTCTCTTTCTGGTCCCGAGAAATTCCAGCTGCCTCTTTCTGGTTGTAAGTATTAATTTCTTTGTAGTTCCTCTTTAAATTCTGTTCATGATATTCTTAGCAATCGTCAGTTAGCCAACATCACTATCGCTTCAAGCCTTTTCTTTATCTCTGGGGAAATTATCCAGTATTCACAGTATTCATAGAAGGGATTAGATAACAGTGAAACACTTATTTTGTCTAAAGATATTTTCCTATGTCTTTATACGTTGCTTAGTTTCTGTGATTCGTTGTTCCTATATTTCTTCTAATTTCTGTTTCTCATTTTCTCTCCTCTGTTGATACACTACATAAATACTGAAATTGGTTTGATTTTGTCATCCCTAATGGATAAATTGTGGTCTAAAATACGTAAAAATGAAAATAACACATCTCATTTTAACAGATATATTTACCAAAATTATGCAAAAATATCTTTAAATTCTAAAGAGTAAATGTATTCAATAAAATCGCCATTGGCTTCATCCACGGCCTCCAGACGACTTCGGAAACTCTTGCATCTCGTCTGGAGAGTCTCCTTGTTTAAGTTGGTGACTGTTGTTATAATCCTTGACTTCAGTTCCTCTTTGGTATTACAAGGAGTTTTGTTGGTCTCTCGTTGAACTGCGCCCAACACATAATAATCAAGGGGGGGTTCAGTCTGAGGAGTTAGGTGACCAGATGTAAGGGGTGATGTGGTTGCAGAAATTGTCTGACAGCCATGACTGGATTCTCCTGTGTGTGTGGCATGGTGCAGTCCTGTTACCACACATAAGATCTTCCAGCAGACAAATATTAATTTCTTCGAGGTTCCTCTTTAAATTTGTTGTTCACATGTTCTGTCCATGATATTTTTAGCGATCATTTCTATCGCTTCAAGCCTTTTCTTTATCTCTGGGGAAATTATCCAGTATTCACAGTATTCATAGAAGGGATTAGATAACAGTGAAACACTTATTTTGTCTAAAGATATTTTCCTATGTCTTTATACTTTGCTTAGTTTCTGTGATTCGTTGTTCCTATATTTCTTCTAATTTCTGTTTCTCATTTTCTCTCCACTGTTGATACACTACCTAAATACTGAAATTGGTTTGATTTTGTCATTCCCAATAGAGGGTGCGATGGATAAATTGTGGTCTAAAATACGCAAAAATGAAAATAATACTGACATTTCATTTTAATATTACCAAAATTACCAAAAATAACTTGAAATATTAAAAAGTAAATTTATTCAATAAAATTACCATTGACTTCAACCACGGTGCCCAGACGACTTCGGGATCTCCAACATTTCTTCTGGACGGTCTCCTTGTTTAAGTTGATGAATGCTGTCATAATCTTTGCCTTTAGATCATCTTTGGTGTTATAAGCAGTTTTGTTGGTCTCTGGCTCAACTGCGCCCTACACATAATAATCAAGTGGGTTTAAAGTCTGGGGAGATAGGTGTCCATGTGTAAAGGTTGATGTGGCGGCAGAGATTGTCTGACAGCCATGGCTGAGTTTTCGTGCTTGTGTGGTATGGTGAAGAGCCCTGGTGCTAGGCAAACAGTGACCTAAGAAAAGTTTAGCCAGGAGAAATAATCTACATTCAGTTTCAAAATGTAATTACGTACTCCCTACTCAACATAAATAAACAGTATTTGGAACTCATATTGAGTAGGTCCTCCATTTTCTAGAGTAATTCTAGCTAGAGAATGCATCGTGACATTGCGTCTAAGTAGACATGACTTGCTCTGAGGAGCTTTTTGGAGACG